CTTCTGGGGCAAGACTTGCTTCAGTGGGGCTTTGGTGCTCACTGAGACTGCACCCTGAGTGTGTCCCTTATGGATCTGAGGAGTTGTGATCTGGATGGTCCCCCTCTGACCACCGGGTATACTGGCTCTTGAATCTCTAAGGAGGTGCTAATTTAGCCTCTGCCTGAGGCTACCCAGTAGGAGCTAGGGAGAGATCTGCAGATTCCTCTTCTTTGTTTGGGATTTGGAGGTGCCTAGATGAGGCCCAGCTGTGAAGCAATGCAAGCTGCTGTGGGGCCTTGGGCCTTCTTTTGGATGTTCTGGGTCTTTCTGACCCAGCTGCAGTTTGTTAGGTAATTTTAGATCTCAAAGGGCCAGCCCATTCATACGCAAAGGCCTCTACCCACAGCTTGGGTGGGGCAGGGTCTCAGGGAATCAACAGGTAGGAGCAAACAGCTATGGCTGCTCCTCAGTCCTGCCCTAAGACGTCCCGGGTCTCAGTGTCCTGGTAATTGCTGCAAGCACCTCTGATAGAAAGCCGCCCTCGAGTTCTGCCCACTACCAGACAGTCCAGTTTCTCACCGTATGAGTCTGGGTCCCCAGAGGCTCGCCCAGAACTGGAGTCAGGGCCGTTGGGAGCTTGTGCCACCCTCCCGATCACAAAAGACATCTGCCAGCCCATTGCCAGCCCCTTTCCACACATGCTCGAGCCTCTGTACCTCTGCACTTTACTTCCGCACCTCCTCTGAGTCTCAGTGTGCTCTTCTCTTTCCTTCTAGGTGTAGAATTTCCACCCAGCCAGCCTTCCTGTGGTTCTGGATGATGCCTGTTTTGTCTTTTAGTTGTATTTTTGAAGTGGTTGTGTGAGGCAGCAATTTCAGGTGTTTACCTATGCTGCCATCTTGGTTTCTCCCTGGTAATTGCTTTTTTAATTTTTTAAAACTTTTTTATTTTGAAATAATTATAGAGTCATGGGAAGTTGAAGAAACAGTACAAAGAGTCCCATATACCTTTAACCCAGTCACCCCTGTTAGTGATAACTTATATAGTGCTGTATCTTGACTGTGGGGCTGGTTACACACATCTATAATGAGATAAAATTGTACTATGTCAAAACCAGTATGAGTCACAACTGATATTGACAACTCTAGCATATTACTATTAATCAGACTACAGACTTTATTCAGTTTTCCCCATTTTAACCTGCATTCATGTGGTCATTTGTATGTGTAGCTTTATGCAATATTATCAAAAATACAGCATGTTTACATCACCACAAAAGAACTCCTTCGTGTTACTTCTTTGTATTTGTATCCATAACCTCACCCCATTCCCTGTCTCTGTCCCTGACAAGAGCTAATCTGTTCTCTATCTCTATAGGAATGTGATTTTGAGAATGTTGTCTATACCAATAATAGCCTAGGGCCATCATGACCAGGCAGATGACCATCACCAGGAAGTGCATGGAGCACCTCTGGGTCCCGCCCCCACATCCCACAGGCTCCTATCACAGCAAGGCTGGCAGCCTGGTAGTGGGGCAAAGCAGGCACAGAGAGCAGGTCCTGGCTGCCAGGCACCATGGTGAGCGAGCGAGCAGGCCCGCAGACAGCAGGGTCGGCCAGCTGCAGCACGCTGGCAGTCCCGGCCTCTGTGCGTGAGCTGCAGAGGAAACACCTTTTCTGACTGCTCATTGGCTAAGCTCCTCATACGCCACTCACAGTGTTCTTAGCAACTTGCCTAATAAGAATCCAAGAAGGTGCCCTAGCCAGTTTGGCTCAGTGGATAGAGCGTCGGCCTGCAGACTCAAGGGTCCCAGGTTCAATTCCGGTCAAGGGCATGTACCTTGGTTGTGGACACATCCCCAGTAGGGGGTGTGCAGGAGGCAGCTGATGGATGTTTTTCTCCCATCGATGTTTCTAACTCTCTATCCCTCTCCCTTCCTCTCTGTGGAAGATCAATAAAATATGTTAAAAAAAAAAAAAAAAAGAATCCAAGAAGGTGATCTAGGGTTTTTCCACCTCACTCCTGGAGGAAAAAACAAAGGTCCACTGCTGGAGGTGCTAAGAAATGTCATTTCTTGGCCTAGCCAGTTTGACTCAGTGGGTAGAGCCTCGGTCTGCTGACCGCAGGGTCTGGGTTCGATTCTGGTCAAGGGCATGTACCTAGGTTGCAGACTCCTCCCTGGCCAGGGCCCAGGTCAGGGCTGATGCAGGAGGCAACCAATCGAGGTGTCCCTCTCACACTGATGTTTTTCTCTGTCTTTCCCTCTCTCTTCCACGCTCTCTAAAAGCATTTTTTTGTGGTGAAGGGACTGGAGTTTGTGTCAATGAAAACACCTTGGTGGCTGTGGTGGCTGGCAGTGGCAGCAGTGGAGTGATGGGGGCTGTGCCTTCCCCTAATCAGCCCTGTCACCTCATGCAGAGGGAGGCCAGATTGTGTCAGTAGGACATTCCCTGAAGGCTCCTGGATTGGAGAGGGTGCAGGTCAGGTTGAGGGACACCACCCCCTCCTGTGCACAAATTTTGTGCACCAGGCCTCTAGTATAATCATTCAGTATGTAAACTTTTTAAAAATACATTTTTATTGGTTTCAAAGAGGAAGGTAGAGGGAGAGAGATATAGAAACATCAATGATGAGAGAGAATCATTGATCGGCTGTCTCCTGCACACACCTACACTGGGGATGGGGCCCATAACCCGGGGCACATGCCCTCACTAGGAATTGAACCATGACCTCCTGGTTCATAGATCGATGCTCAATCACTGAGCTTTGTCAGCCAGGCAGTACATTAAAATTTTGACATTGATTTTTTAAATTAAGCATAATGCCCTTGAGGTCCATCTAAGATCTTATACAAATCAATAGCTTTATTATTATAAATAATATATAAATTTTATTGCTGAGTAGTATTCCATTATAGGAATATACAGAGTTTCAGTTACTCACTCATTGAAGGACATATGGATTGTGTGCAGGTATTTTGCTTTTAAAAATAAAGCTGCTAAAAAATAAGATAAGGTAAAGCTGCTATGAATATTTTTTTACAGGCTTTTAAATAAACAAATTTCTTTGGAGTGAATGCCCAAGAGTGATTGCTGGTGAAATCTGTCTCTTAAACTCAACAAGGTCAAGGCCACAAGGTTTGGTTGGAGTTTCCCCTCCCGGTGCCTCAGCCTGGAAACTGCCTCCAAGTTGAAGCTGGGCTGTCGTACGGTTTACCTCATTTGTTTCCCTTTTTTTCAGGGACTGTGGCTCTGCTTGTTTTCTAATGCCTGCTTACAGTTGTCTTCCTATATTTTGTCTTGTTTTCTAGTAGTTTGAAGCAGAAAGGCAATTCCCATAGTGCATTATCTAACTTCATTGGCAGAAGCAAAAGTTCTCAGATCCTTTGATTTGCTTTAAATTTTTCCTTTTATCTCTGTTCCTCTGTGCTGTTCTTTGAGGGAATTTTTTATAGAAGATTTTTGGCTCCTTAACTCACTCTTTAGCACTCCTTATTCCTCTTCAGTCCATCTATATAAATATTTGAACAAAGTTCTCCTTTGATTGCTTCCTAACTCTAGTACTGGCTCATGCTACTAGACAAATCATGTGATTCATCACATGTGTCGTGACAGGAAGAGGAACAGGTTGGAGAAACCAGCCTGCTATGGTTCCAATAACTCTACATATCAATATTGACTTTCCTAAAGATATAGGTTGTTCCTAATTTCTGAATTTGGGAATTAGGAGGGAGCCTTCACCATTATCTAGTCCAGCGGTTCTCAACCTGTGGGTCACGACCCCTTTGGGGGTTGAACGACCCTTTCACAGGGGTCGCCTAAGACCATCGGAAAACACATATATAATTACATATTGTTTTTGTGATTAATCACTATGCTTTAATTATGTTCAATTTGTAACAATGAAAATACATCCTGCAAATCAGATGTTCACATGATGATTCATAACAGTAGCAAAATTACAGTTATGAAGTAGCAACGAAAATAATTTTATGGTTGGGGGGTCACCACAACATGAGGAACTGTATCAAAGGGTCGCGGCATTAGGAAGGTTGAGAACCACTGATCTAGTCCAACACCCTTATTTCATATATAGGCAAAGAGCAGCTCAGGTCACACAGCAATGGCATAAAAAAATTGGTGTACAAGGCCTCCAATTTTCAATCTGTATAATTTTTCCATTATTGACTACACGTAAATTGTGTGTGTGTGTGTGTGTGTGTGTGTGTGTGTGTATAAAGTGAGGTTAATTTTGACCTTTCCACACAGGATTTTCCCTATGTGAAGCGCACTCTTTTTTGCACAGTGGTAAAACTTTGTCTTTGTTGCAGAAAAACAGTGTCCAGGGCTTCGTAAAGAGGAAAGCTTGTGTTGCACCCCTCACATTTGATTCCCAGTTGGAATCCAAAGAGGCTATTTCTCCTACACCCACATCTATGACAGTATCACAGAGCAGAGAAGACAAGCCACATGGTATTACAAAAACTAAAAGGTAACCATCAAAACTACTTCAAACTTTCAACTTGGGGTTTTAAAGTATTACTTCAGATTTGTCTTAGATTATGCAGTCTATATTAATGTCAGCTTTGTCAAACATAGATATATTTCATAATGGCTATGTGTTATAACATACTAAGTAAGCATTAAAAATAGTTTATGAAATATTCATTATATTATGTCACTATTGCAGATAGTAATTACAATTCTGAATTTTTAAAGAAAGGCCTTTCTTGCGCTATGTATGCCTACAAATTAACGTCAGGATTTTTTTCAAACTTCAACCAATAGAGGCAAAGGAAAGCCCACTTGATTTGAGAAATCAAAAATAGTTCACTGTTGCTAGACTTGAATGGAATATGGGGGAGAGCTGAAGAAGTGAGGCTAAAGAGGTAAGTAGTAGTGAAGGCCAGATCACCAAAGGCCTTATGAGCCTAGGAAACAGCTTTGGTCAAAACCAGTAAGGAGCGACCAAAAGGTTTAAACAGGGCAATGCATAGGCAGATTTGGATCTTAGAAATATCATTACAAACAGCAAAAGAGGTCATTAAAAATTATGAGGGCTCCCCAGAAAACCTGACCCTTTACTAAATTCATATTAATCTCCAGAAACTGCCTCTTCTGGGTGGCATCCCATCTTGCCATGAGTCCTTTTCTAGTCAAAGCAAAATGATTGCTTAAATAGCAGAGCATAAGGCAGAAAGTTTTTATCTTCATATTGAGAATGATATGCTGGTTACATTGGTTAAATTATATAGATTTAGTTCCTCCACACCTTGAGCTGCAGCTCTTGGGCTGAAAAGCTATGCTAATTGTAATTAAACTAGGAGTCTCCACCAGTGCTCACAAACCCCACTCCAGCACCTAGCCAAGGTGTCAAATCTAATCCACACAGCTTTCAGTTTAGCCTCAACTTGACACCATGATTGCCACCTCCTACCAGAGACTGTCTGGTAATGGCATGCTCTCTTTTGATCTCTAGCCTCTTGCTCTTCAAAGTGTGGCCTTCCCCTGGGAGGGTTGCAGGGGCGGGGGTCGGTCGGTAAGAGATCAACCAAAGGTCTTGTATGCATGCATATAAGCATAACCAATGGACACAAGACGCTGGGGGGTAGGGGAGGCCGGGGGGAAGGTGCTTCTGAAATTTGATCGTGCAGACATAAAACTGAGCATAGTTAATAGACAACTGCATAATTTCTATTTTTTTTTCTACATGTGCTTTCCTGTCCCAGGCATTCTATAATAAAAGTTTGCAATAGTAAACAACAACAACAACAAAAAAACCCCACACAACAACAATGAAAAAAATATGCTCAGGTGAGGATTAACAAAAAAATATATAAAATAAAATATCTGGGATCCCCCCTCTCCCCCCATGAAAAGTGTGGCCTTCCATCAAGAAGCATCCATGTCACTTGGGAACTTGTGTGACGTGCAGAATCTCTGACCCCATCCTAGACAGAAGCTGCAGTCAATAAGATCCTACAAGTGATTCCTATGGACACTGAAAACCGAGAAACACTTCCCTTAGCACAGAGGTTCCCAAACATGGAGGGCTCGCTAAAACACAGATTGCTGGGCCCCACTCCCAGAGTTTTTGATTCAGTGGTTTGGGGCCGGGGCCTGATAATTTGCATGTTTAGTAAGTTTCCAGGTAATACTGACGTTACTGCTCGGGGTGCCACCCTTTGAGTCACTGCTCTAGTTAAGGTCCCACTCTAAATCGTGCTGCCTAATACCAACATCTGTTTCATTCTTTTCCTTGGCTTACTGGATATCATAGCAACTCTCAACCTGGCTGTGATCACCCAATTGATGAAACGTGCCCAGGTGTATTTGTAGCTGAGCTTCGCTTTCAGAGTAGTCATTTCCAACACATATGTACATTAGTATTCCCTGGGGAGCTTTAAAATAATTGGATTCTACTTTAATCGGTTTGGAGTGCGGCCCAGCCATTGCTATTTTTAAGATTTCCCAGAGATGATTCTTATGTAAAGCTAAGATTGAAAACCATTAAATTCTTAGGGCTTCTTTGTCAGTTGCTCCCAGAGACATTTTTCTGTGTTATTATTAGCTTGGGATTTCTACATCTTTCTTGGATAAATGGGACCTGATAAAGGTGACTGCCTTTATCACCAGGAAATACCTTCCTAGGATCACTTTTCTGATAAGCAGAGTTTTATAATCATTCAAAAATATCTCTCAGTCCTTGGCATTTAATTTGGAGAGAGTCTTTAATATTTCTCAATAAACACCAAACACACTTCTCTGCAACTTTTTATAATTGGACCTTTTACAAAAGAGCCATGCTCTTTTCAACAAAAGTCTCTTTAAAAAACCACCGGTAATGAGGAATTTTAGTAAGAGAGATGAAGTGGCTTTTTTCATTACTTAAGCATTCAGTCCTGGATTATCATGTGAGAATGGCAATTTTATCATGTATAAAATAGTAAGAAATAGAGAATAAGTTAGGGGCAAGTAGATAGATTAAGAAAATTTTTTTAATATTTTTATTGTTTTCAGTGAGGAAGGGAGAAGGAGAGAAAGATAGAAGCATCAATGATGACAGAGAATCATTGATTGGCTGCCGCCTGCACGCCCCCTCCTGGGGATCGAACCTGCAACCTGGGCATGTGCCCTTTACGGGAATCGACCCCAGGCCCCTTCAGTCCGTAAGCCGATGCTCTATTCACTGAGCCAAACCAGCTAGGGCTAGATTAAGAATTTTTTTAGGTGGAGGTGGGAACGGATAGAGAGAGGTCAATGGAGGAAAAAGGAGACTTAAATAATACTTTAAACAATAAAGAATTTAAATTTTTAAAAAAAAATTTTTTTTAGATCAATGGAAGAATCACTTGACCTTTATAGGTGCTGAAGTAATAAAAACTCACTGAAATGAATAGTCAAGGAGAAATCTCAGGGAGACTCACATGAAGGAGGGAGGTAAGGACAACTAGAAGAGATGACGCCTAATAAGGAGTCTTTATAAGAGGAAGCAGAAGAGAACTTTAGAAAATATGTATCTTGAGGACAAATAATGAGGGGGCAGGGAAAGGGATTTTAAAAAAGCATTTCAGAATCAAAAACTGAGTAGGGAAATTAAAAAATAGAATACAGTTGTACATTGGATTGATAAGATCAAAGAGAGACATAATCTTACAAAAATAAAATATAAAAGAAATGGAAATCAGATTGAAAATATGGGTAGTAAGGTTTCAGGATAGTTAATATCTAAATATATACCTAATACATAAATCAGGAGAGCAAGAAACAGATGGTAAGAAAAATCAAAGAAATATTACCCTTTTTTTTAAAGGCAGACATGAATTTTCAGATCAAAGGGGTTACCAAGTGCTAGACTTATAGAAAAATTAATACCAAAGGCAGGAAAAAACATTGGTTAATTACAAAGGAAAGGAAATCAAATGAGTTTCATATGTCCCATCTGCATCTCTAAAGCTGGAAAACAGTGATCCATTTTCAGCTTTTGAACAGAACGGCAATCCTGGAATCCTCTGTTGGATGAATCATCATGTGTATACGAGAATAGTATTTTTGGACCTGAAAGATTTTAGAATGTCATCTGCCTTTGTATTCTTTCTGAGGAACTTACTTGAAGAAGTATTTTATCCAAAATAAAATGAAATATGAATATGAATAATATAAAGATACAAACTAGGTATCTTTATTATACACAGATGTAACTGAAATTGTTTGTGGTGCCAGAACAAACGCTTGGACTTCCATCTCACAGTGGCTGTCTCGTGAAAACATAAAACATCCCAAAGGCTTGCCAGTGAAGGAGTGCATAAGAGATTTCCAGTTGGGAAGAGACGGCTTTTAGAGCAGCCCCCATGCTTCCATCTGAGCTGGACCCGTCCCTTGGGTTTCTTACCTTCGTGGGCCAGAGCCACTTCAGTGATCTATCCCAGGACATGCAGCAGCCTCCCTTTAATTCCAGCACATGCAATGCAAACGCAAGGTCTTCACCTATATTTCCTTTAACTCAACCATAATAGAGTATAATCTCACAGGGAATTTTTAAAAATGTAAGAAAAAAATGGGGGGGGGGCATTAAAAGGGAAATGAATTTTAAAACATACAAGCAGTCCAAAATCAATACAACTTACAAAAAACAGATTTATAATTTTATGCTAGTGAATTAACCCACAAAATTTATAATTCTAAGTTTTATTCCTCATATTATATGAAAACCCAGTGCTACAAACACAATTTTTATTTCTAGGCCCTTATCTCTCTCATTCATTCGTCCTACTGTTGGGAGAAAACTCTTCATAGGTCTCTTGTATTTCTATATATTGTATGAGTAGGGGCACTGGCTGCCTTTGTTTCTGACAATCGTTTTAAGGATGTTTATGTAGCAAACAGCCTTAGAAAATAGAGATAGTACTGTCTTCTGAGCAAGAGCAGGCATGTTACTGTCCATTATAAAAAATTGGGTTCCCTAAGCTAGGGTTCCATTCTTGTGATATAACCCATTGTGTGTGCAGGTGTCATCTGGCACTCTGCTTGTTGCCCTATTGCTATGAATAACAAATGGTCCTCTGCCTCTGATCCAGGAGTCTCATGTCTTCTGCCAGCATAGATAAAACTTTGACAGGCTCACTTGTTAGTTTGTAAGGAGGGTCAAGTCTCAGACCTTTCACAGTCCTTCACACCTACTTTTTTTTTTTTAATATATTTTATTGATTTTTTACAGAGAAGAAGGGAGAGGAATAGAGAGTTAGAAACATCGATGAGAGAGAAACATCCATCAGCTGCCTCCTGCGCACCCCCTACTGGGGATGTGCCCGCAACCCAGGTACATGCCCTTGACGGGAATCGAACCCGGGACCCCTCAGTCCGCAGGCCGATGCTCTATCCACTAAGCCAAACCGGTCAGGGCCACACCTACTTTTAAGGAAGAAACTTGAGGATAGAATGACAGAAACTTTGACCCTCCTTGTAAATGGTGTGGTAAAAGTTACTGTGCCT